CCCGGGGCAGCTCCCGCCACGCGTGGCAGGGGCCGAGACGGGTGGGTCTAAACTGTGCCGGTGACGGAACTGGGACGCAGCAAACATTAGTTCCCAGGGTCCCTTCCCCAGCGTGGCTGCTAGCACACACACTGCACACGTGGTCACACGTGTCCCCACGGGCCAGCGCTAGATTAGAGTGGGCTTGGCAGCTGTGAGCTTTTCAGGTGGCCTGGTCCTGCCCCACTCATCACCCGCCTCGCCACCCCCAGAGCTCCCTACACCCCCAGCTCATGCCTCTGGGTACCACATGGCTCCCCACCAACAAAACTCCCTGCCCGAGGCCCCTCCAGGTGCCGGGACGCCTACAAGCCCAGCTGGGCAGGGCGAGGCCGTCGAGGCCAGCGAGGCGCGTACGGGTCAGGCAGTGCTGGGACCACTTGCCTGTGGCTCCCGCGAAGACGTCCCCCTGGGCCGGACTCTCCGAGATGACGGCCGTGGCCTCCACAGTGGACGCCCGGTCGAAGGTCAGTGCGCCAGAGGTAGTGATCTGTCCTGAGGGGGTCACAGTGACTGCAAGAGCAGAGGCGGTTTTACCGCTCGGCGGGGCCTTGGGAGGACCCCAGGAACCCGGCCGGCGGGGACCCACGCGTGCTGCAGACTCCTCCGCGGGCCCGTGAGAAACGGACCGGTGCCTGGGGGAGACCTGGGGCTGCCCGCAGAGGTAGGCAGGGCAGGGAGGGGCAGCGGGGGCCGGGGTGCTGACAGCAGCGTGCGCAGGGAGGAGGGAAGCGTGTCGAGGACTCACAGGTGGTGGCGGCCGTGGCCGGGAGCAGCGTGATGTTCTTGGGGGCCTCCTTCTTGCCCGGGGCTGCGGGCAGCTCGTTCTCCTTCTTGCGCCGCTTGTAGGGGACAAAGAGCCGGACGGGGCCGCTCTGCGGGGAACACAGACGGGCGCTGGCGTGAGCGCGGCTCACGCTGTCCGCGGGTTAAGTGGGGCCCGGCTCCGCTGTCCACGGGGCCAGCAGGAGGCAAGCTGCACTCAGAACCCCCTCTCTGTCGGCCCCCAATTCCTTCCAAGGACAGGAAAGACACTTTCCAAGGAACACAGGAGAGACAGGTCACCGTACGGAACGCCCAGGAAGCCCGAGAAAACAAGGGGACCAGGCGAAGGAGAGGGACCGCAGGCCCTTGGTCCCAATGCAGGAGGAGGCACCGCGGTCACCACCTAACAAGAAACCCCGGGGACCAGTGACACCAGGAAAACGGGGAAGGTAGCGGGAGCTCCGCGGGGAA